CCACATCAGGGCCAGCCATTAAAAAGCAAACTAATTCAGAGTTTCGAGAATGCAGAAAAGTTGGAACCGCTATTTCTTTGGGAGTTATATACGGGCTACTAACAGGGATCCGTTCCTCCTCTCCCAATTAGGGTAGAGCATTAAGATCGCATTGGCCATTATACTGTGCCTACCCGCCAGAGATCTGCCTGAAGATTGAGATCAAGATTTCACTGGCCCTCATGAGCCACAATCAAAACTCCTTAGAGTGAGGTTACATAGGGAATACTATGGGGGACTACATTAGGTTTCATTAAGGGGGGTACTAGGAGTTGCGACTATGGCTCACATACTAGACCTCCACGTTTTAGATCTTCCTCGTTGTAGATCTTTAGGAAGACTGACCCGTCATAGGTCCAAAGGCAACCCAAACCCCGAACCCAAACCCTAGACCCTAACCCTCACACCCTAAACCCTCAAACCCTAAACCCTAAACTTTGACTGCCAAATTCGGCCTTCCAGCATGCCATCTCTGGCTCTCCGAACGCGTGTCAGTGGCGACACGGACAGGATTCAAAGGATCCGGACAGTAGCCTCCCCCAACCAAACACGGAACTCCTAACGAGGTTCCAGACGTTCAAGTACCTTTCTATAGAGGCTTTAATGGGGAGACTAAATGATTACCAGCATCAGTCCAAGGTCCCTTGCATTGTAGCCATATTATGGTGTGACTGGGATAGCGCCCAAAGTGATATAGGCAAATATGTAAGCCCCTACAGTTTATTATTTGCGTGGGGATCCATGTCTGTTTGGGGTAGTGCGGCGCATGGCTCTGGCCTGTGCACTTACCCTCTTCTCCTTGTCTTGCCTCCTTACTGGTGGTTAGTTAGCAGGGAAGAAGAGAGTGTAACCCAACTGTCATCTCTGTATAGCAGAATCCCTTAACGTAGCTGGGCAAATTACAACGGCCTCACGTGAAGATGTGGTGTACATGGAACTTAGCGCCGACATTGGCTTCATGTCAGGCTTTGGAATTCTTATATGTGCAAGTTGGCCAGTCGTAGTTTTGAGGCCTGTTCTATTCCTTCATTCCCTACTGAACACCAGTAAGCCTCGGGCGCAGATTCTCGCAGACGGTAGGTTGAAGCCTACCATTTAAAACCACAATGGAGTGACATATATTGGTTTTAATGTTTTCAGCCATGCTCTAATAGGAACTAGTTAACCATCAGCTGTGTAGAACCTTGCCGGCCAGTGGTGCGCAAACTTTGCTATGTTCAGGCCCTATCCAGCTTGTGTTGCTATACTCGCCCTCTCTGGTTTTAGTGGGCTTCAATGTTAATGTGCTTTCTAACATTAAAGAGAAGGTACAAAGCAGGCTTTCATATCATTTTGATAAGTCATGTTGAGAGCTTCATCTGCTTGAGGAGCTTGCACCATTTCAATGCTTCCTGGTTTAGGGTTTAGGGTTTATGGGGCTACTTCATGGGAGCTCAACATTAGACTCATCTGGGCCAGCAAGCTAAGGCTTGCTGTCCTAAGGCTTGCTGTCCTACAACATGTGGGTCCAGCAGGCTTACAAGATTAGGGTCTACCTGGAAGTTTCTTAAACTATGGGTTCTCTTCGGGAGCACTGGACGTAGATCATATTCTGCTGCGTGTATCCCATTGCTCAGGCTCATGGCTGCTTTGCTCGATCACTCCCTCCTGGCCGCAGCAGGTTTCATTCATCAAGCAAGCAAATTCAACCCATCTCGCGATATGGATTGGGACTGGTTTCCGATTTCCTATGCACCCCATGCAATCATTGAACCTGAATTCTGCAATTACTTGGCTTCATGACAGTCTGCGACGCCCCGACAAGGGCTGTAGCAGCTCCGCCGCTCACCTGGCATGCAAAAGCAATATATTATTAGGGTTATATTGGGATAATGGAAAGTAAAATGGAAACTACAGGGATTATAGGGATTATATGGGGTTATATAGGGATTATAGGGGATGTATAGGGGTTATATTGGGATAATGGAAATTTAAATGGAAACTACTATTTAGGGCTTAGGGTTTAGCATGCAAAAGGAATATGAGGGTTATATAGGGATGATGGAAAATAATTGGAAACTACAATAGTATATCAGGGTTACATAGGGATAATGGAAAAGAAATGGAAAATACTATAATATATTAGGGTGATATAGGGATAACGGAAAATGAAATGGAAACTCCTAGAGTATATTAGGGTTATATAGGGATACTGAAAATAAAATTCAAATTGCTATTTAAGGTTTAGGGTTTAGGGTTTAGCAAGCCCCTCAAAGAAGGTAGTCTTTGTTAGGCAGCCTGCACAAACCGCTCGCACAACGTGGGAACATCGCCCTGAAGACGAGGATCTTGATGCAGGCAGGCTATGCAGGTGCAATCATGGACAAATACTGTGTCAAACAGAGCTCGCGCTCAATCCGATGGATGCCCCAGTCAAAGCTTGGGGGCCTGCACTGGCTTGTGTCTAAAGGATTATTGGAACTCCGTCCCCGAATAGCTGACGACCCCAAGTTTGCACAAGGCTTAGGCGAGTGAAAGCGAGCTAGCAAAACGGAAAACCAACTGGGAAGTTTTTGAAAGATCTTGAGCTGCTCAAAAACATGCGACGGCCTTCCACACTCATACATTCCTCCATGCTGGTCTCACGCGGAGCCGCCAAAGACAGAGCAAACCAGTACCGGAGGGTATCAGTTCAGCCAGGCACATTCAAAGGCTTTCGTAGCAAGACGTGAGCAAACACTTCGTTGGGTGGCTCTCAAGATTAGATCCCTCACCTGCACACCCCAATCCCGAAGAAGCGATCCCTGACTTCAAGAAGCGCCTGCTTCCCCCGCCAGCCACCATTTGCTTGAAAGGGGATCCATCCTTCCGCGGGTGCTCCAAGGCTAGCAGCTAGCCAGTCTGCATCTCCACAACGCGGAATGTTTCACGATGCAAATCAGAACGCTGAGGTGCAACGGCAGTTTTGGAAACCAGCTGCCGTTACACCTGCTACACGTAGAACACGAGCTCCTGAGCAGATGCTGCAGGTGAGTTTAACAGACAAAGAAAGAAAGCAACATGTTCAGATTCTGCTCGTCACATGATTCTGGCCCACGCTCTGAACCCTACGGTATAGTGACTCCATATGTCACTGTAGAGCGATCATATCTGCATCCTAGTGATCAACTCTCACTTTCTGTAAGATTTCCGCACGCCATCTGTGTTTCTATGCAAAAAGCATGACGTATCCTGGAGAGGTGTTTGCATGTTCTCTACCCGACTCTACCAGCTGGCCCGTACCTGAGGCCTCACAAAGGTTTGGAACCCTACGCCTTCAGGAAGTATGCCTATCTGTTGGCCTGGCTGTCTCCAACAAGACACGAGACCCAACAGTAGAACAGCCAGTGCATGAACGGTAAATCCTTGGTTTTTGTTCGTAGGCTGATGAACGAATGTTGAATGGCAGTGTTCGAAAGTATTGCATGAGACTCTCCACTGCTCCTCCTCGTTATAGATGTAACGTGTGATATGTCTTGTCAAATGCAGAGACTGCGCAGTAAGTCTCACAATCATGCAACATTCGCCAAGACTTTCAGATACTTGGGAGCGACAGATATATGAGAATGCGCTGCCGCCGCGCAACATGAGATCTGCCCTTGAGCGGGACCCGCAGAAAAACTTGCTGCAGTTTTGTATAACAGTACCGTACAACGTATCTCATTGAAAAGCCTCCCCTTGCACAAAGGCTTGGTGAAGGCATCAAGCATGCAATCTGGTTGAGTTAAGACGTGCCTCACCCGGCGCTGTGACGAGCTTCGGTATTATTGTCCTTTGTACAAGACGTATGCAGGCATGCGTGCAGGGAAGGTGTGTTGATGAGTCTGCGAACCTGCTTTGACTGGACCATTCCGCAAGGTTTTGACACGCGAACAAGGTAACCATGATCATTCTTGTAGCGGTGTTCGAGCCCAGAGGGATATCGGGCTTTTGTCCCATTCAGTCGTATCAGTGCATTTAGACCTTCAAAAAATGCTTGGGCATAAGCCTGAAATCAGTTCACAACTAGCATCCAACTGTGGAATCCTCATTCGCGAATATACACACAACAAATGTACCTCAAAGCTTATCGGTCGGATACACTCCGTACTGTAAAACAGTCATACATGGACCTTCATCAAGGATTTGTTGTCTTCGGGCACTGTTATATGGGGGGCACAACCCAACCCCAAAATTTAATCTCAGCTTTAAAGATTTGGAAATCGAATAGAACAACATATCAGAGTTTCTGTATGTAACCTCATGCCGTTGAGGCGCTATTTTCAACTTCAGTTGCCCTGATGGATGTCCAGTGTGCCCCTCATCCAGAGTAGGACCCGTTTCCTTACCTTGCACCCTGGCCCACGTGAAGTGAGTCTTGGTCCTGAATTGCCCCTGAACCTTCAACCCTATTCTGTTCCTCTGCTCTTGATGCTGCGTCCGTCAAAGTTAAGGCTGGTCTCTGGAGAAAGCTTGATGAATGATGGCACCGCCATTGTTGTATTTGCCGCTTGCAGCAATCAGTGGACGAGGCTATAGGCAGTATGTGTTTTGCACTTAAGCAAGTGTACTTTCAGCTGGCTAGTCGCCACTTTCATGCTACCGAATGAATTCCACATGGCCGGATGCTGTCAGAATACACTAGAAGATCTAGTCTTGGCTTGTTCGAGGTGCTTTCCCATTAGCACTGTTGGCCGCTGGCATACCTAAGCCAAGCTGTCGGCAGAATTCTCTACCGATGCCATTCGCACGTGGATATGTAAGGCAGCAAGTGTGAATACTGCGCCTACTCCATCACGAGCGCGTCAGGGGACAAGGGCCTTCGATAATATAATAGTTTCCATTTTACCTTCCAATATCCCAATATAACCCCGGTATAACATTATTCTGAATAATGCAGTCGTTTCCATTTCATTTTCCATATGGAGGTTGGCTTCTGCTAGGAAATTCTGCTGAAAGCACAGGTGCTGATGCTCAAAGTGGTTCTGGGTGCCACTCTGGATGTGGCCTCTGTGGTGAAGTTTTTTGGAGACCCGGCTTGCCTTCAGCGGTTTAGGGTTTAGGGTCATATAAGGATTTTATGAACTACGTACATTTGGACCCTTGCCCTTCTGTACACACCTGGAATGACGAACACCCCAGGGTGGTGTTTGTGTCAGGGATATTGCCGCAAGAATGGAGAAACAGTTAAACACATGCATGGAAAATCAAATGCATAATGAAATCCAAACTAGTGCTGTACCTTACATGACTACACAGAAAATCCCATGATATAGTCTTTTGTAATTGGGGGAACATGATTCATCATTTTGGGTTGAGGGGGTTGTTCTTAGCGGATGGGGCGCTCAGCATGGTAGGGAGATTGGGAACGGAATAGTGCTTTTGATTATGAAGGTTGATGTATGTGTCTGCAGTTGAGACACCTTCACACCATCCACTTTTCTTCGCACGAAGACTTATTCTCGAAAACCTTCTATACTCCACTTTAGAACCATAGTACGTTGGGACACATATTGGGGCCTTTTTTTTGGTGCGCTGTCATGTATAAGTTGCTTGTTTGGCGTCTGAGGGCACATGTCCTTGACCTCCATTGTCATGGGTGGCCTAGCGGGACTGCTCGCAGCCGTTTGTCTGCATGAGAAAAAATAGAAATAACAGTATAACTTGGGTCATTCCCCCTCCCAGTAACTGTCCTTAAAGGGGCCTTATTGAGGGAGTTCTTATAACTCCTATAACCCATTGTGGTAACAGTAACTGTAAAGGGGGAATGACCCCGAGTATAACAGTAATTCTAGTATCCATAGTTATAATAGTATTATTGGTAATACTAGTAATAAGAATAGTAATAGTAATAATAAGGTTTGTGCTTAGGGTTTGGGCCTGGGGCTTAAGTGATTCCGGAATCCGGGGTTTGAGTTCAGGGTTCAGGGATTAAGACAGAATCCCTAGCTGAGGGTATGGGGGTTCCGGGATACTCCACACTCACACTTTGTTGCAAGGACTCCTTGTCCAGCCCTGAAACCATTCGTCTGTAGCTTGATTGGACTCCGTGCCGTACGTAGGGCTCTTCTACCATGCCTACGATCCATACTCTCCCAGGTAAACCTCGTAGTTCGCGGCACGGAGCACCTGCCATGCCGGAACACTTTACATTTACATCAAGACGTTGCTCCAACTTGAGCTTACTACAATAACATTCGGTATCTCTGGGGGAGGGCGCATGCGCAGATCTGGTTTGAACGCGCACCCGCATGGAGGTTTCTCGAGATAGCTCAGAGGGACCATCAGGATTGTGGGGGCTTCCGGGTGATATCTTGCACATCGGGGGCTCAGGGTGCACCTAAACTCCAAAAGGCTAGTTTGAGGCGTTTGGGCCATTATGATTTCTACTTTTGGGGTTTAGGTAGGGTTTTGGGGGATTGCCAGTCTTGGCGCCCGCCCTAAGCCCGCCTTAAGCCTCATACACTGCGTTCAGGTGGCCATCATTGGCAAGTGTGCAGAGGAGCGCTTTCACAATGAATCCTGGCATGGACTTGGATGCTGAACGGTGTTTTAAGTAAGAATACAGAAGAGTTTCATCTTACTTGGATGAACCACCGACTGACCACTACCCTGGTGGTCTAAATGGGAGCTCGAGATCCGTACAGGCTTTCGTGTTTAAGGTGTGTTTGGAAAAGTCCATTTGTGCAGAGGATGCGACTTATTTGGGTTATGACAGTAACAACAGTCGTATGAGAGCATTTGGCTTGGGGATCGTGGCCTACGCAACAATCTCCAGGCAACTAGCCACTACCCAGACTCCTGGGAGGTTCTGGAGAGTAGATCCCCCTTAAGAGTTTCGATAAATGACCTAATACTAGTATAGCGTACTAAATTGGAGGCTCTAAATGGTAGATCCTCCCAGCGGTCGGGGTAGTCGTAAAGCTGTAGTCTGGAGGAGAGCTTATAGTTTGACATTAGAAGGCCTTGTGTGTAGAGGTCGAATCGGCAGGGGGTAGCCACCAACAATGTGGCTAAGGATACCATGATTCAGATTATCACGACGCCGCCGGGCTGCGTGATGCTGCGCAATTTTTGGCAGACTACAGGTTGACGCTGATTGTAACAGTAATAGTGATAGTAGTAGTCATAGTAATAGTCATAGTCATGGTAATAGCAATAGTAAGAATGATAGTACTCCAATTAAGGGGATACTAGTTGAAGCACCCAGAGTGGAGTTTCCTAAGTCCAGGTATACGGGGATTTCACAGGGAGTACTCATGAAATTCGGAATGTAAGCTTAGCGGTCATGATTTGCCAGAATTCCCAAGCACTGGTTTCTCGAGTCAGTCTTGTGCACTGCCGTTGAACCAAGTCTGTATCTACCAGGACCCTCCTTGTAACCCTAATTGGGATATGTGGTCCCTAATAGTAGGTACTTAGGCCCTGATAGAGGGTAGGAGGAGGGTCCAGGTGAAGATGTCTTGAAGGTGGCCCTGCCTACCCTATTCTTTCCTGATGCTTTATCGTGGCATGGGGAAAACGGATTAGTTTGATGATTTTTTAAAAGAGATTACTACAAGGATCCACTCCCCAGTCCCAACTGGTGGGGGGTTCTGATTAATAACCCCCTGTTCCCCCAGCCAATAACGACTCTAAATAGTCCGGGATAGCCCAATCAACTTTCGGCAAACTTGTTTGGGGGGGTCTCAGAGGAGTTCATAGACCCTAAACATTAAGCCCTAGACCAAAACCCCTAAACCTTAAACCCCTAAACCCTGCTTTTCTTTTCTCTGTCTCTGGTTTCTCGTTGGGCGTTTCAGAAACAAAGCATGGAATAATTCAGTTCCTCTGTTGTTATTAGTCCGTTCAGACCATGTGTCGCTGTAATCCGTACCAATTTTTAGTATTCGCTCAGGCCTAATTTCGCTCTAGCATGATCCCATTTACTAATCCGGACCCCGCATTAAGCAGGGGTATCGTTGCTGGCTCTTGGGGTCCATGCCATACTGAGAGGTTTCTGAGTAGCTCGGGGTGGGGATGTACGAATTCTTTCAGAGAAAGATGATGAAGCAGCACTCAGGCTGCTTACTATATACTCCCTATAATCCCTGTGGTTTCCATTTTATTTTCCATTATCCCAATATAACCCCAATATTGCCACCGATGGGTTTACCTCAGGGGGTCTGACACTTAGCTCTTTAATTTTGCGCCCAAGTCCCTACATCATTCATAAACCCTACCCTACGACCCTAGGACTCCAAGTATATAGACGATACCTACATTGGGCCCCAAAGACTGTAAATATTACCTACATTGGGCTATTAGGATCCCTAGGGCTATGGTGTGCCAAAACCTTTATATTGGGGTTAATGTTGGGATAATGGAAAAGAAAATGGAAACTACTATAGTATATTAGGGTTAATATTGGGATAATGGAAAAGAAAATGGAAACTACTATAGTATATTGGGGTTAATATTGGGATAATGGAAAATAAAATGGAAACTACTATAGTATATTAGCTTTAAACCTTCGAATTCCAATCCTGAGGCTTTGCTGCGCCTACCTGTCCTTCTTTGTTGCAGAGAGCGAGCTTAGCACCAGCGGAGTTCTCGCCGCTTTGGCCATCTACGCCTTTTCAGTGCTTCCATGTTTAGGGAAGCAGCAGGCCCAATTTCCGAAAATTATGGGTACTATTTTGGGGGTCCCAATAATAAGTATTATAATATATTGGGGTCTATATTGGGGTCCCCTAACTATGGAAAACTACCATATAGTCTAGAGAAAAGTGCAAGAAAAGGGGGGAAGGATGGTCTGAGTAGCCACTTTGTCATGAGGATGCCCGTGTCGCGGGAACATAACAAGCCCATCTGTATTCTATTTGGAAGGCTATGGCAATAAGCCTTGACGAGCCCGTAGAAGGCACCACTACAAGCCTGTTAGGTTCCTACATATTGAGGCTTCTCCATGAATAGGGTGCCCCTATATAATATAGATCCCAATATATTACAATCCTGATTATGGGGACTCCTCCTAGAAAATCCTATTATAGGAAATTCCGCATATCCTGAACCCTCTGCAATTTGTCACTGCCCATTTCGCGCTCCTTGAACCCTAAACCCTAATCCCTGAGACTGCCATGCAATTTCGAGAGCCCCTCATGGAGACAGATTCCTGTGTACTGAGGCCACTGTTTCCGCAGGCTTTGTTGTGCCTCCCCTGCAACATGGGAATTTCTTGAGGCTGTGTCTTTCCTCACGAAGGATGTTTATGAGGTGGAAGAGCAGTAGAGAACCAAAGTGCACAAGCGGCTACGTCGCTTCAAGTTCCTTTGTGCTTCAGGGTTGTGTGGAGGTTGGATAAGCGCATTGGATCCCGTCCGTACCTTTTTGGAGTCAGTTGGGCAGCTGGGCTTGGAGTTATTAGCAGGTACAGCTGGGCCCTACCTGCGAAACTTCCATACTATGGGCAGTCTCCACAAACGTGGGACCCCAATATAGACCCCAGAATAATTCAATACTTATGGGGACCCCCTAGTTCATGGAAACCCGCGTATCGGACTACGGTCCGTCTTGTCCATGCCTGCAGTATGTGTTGTATGGCATATTCTTCTCCCTTGCGCAATGTAGGCGATATTTGCAGACTTAACAATTAGGGCCCGGTCTAGGTAATACTGATAGACATAGAGCCCAAGGGTATTTCTACAAGTTGATGTGTCGTTGCACGAGAACCCGACCGCTACTTTGCGAAGTTCGGCCTTGCTTCGTGATTCTACGGGGTTCTATAATGGATTATTTAGGGGATTACTATAGGGGTTATTAAGGGGGATACTGGGAGATTAGACTAGGGCTCGCTTGGTATTGTCAGCTCTGATTGTTTACCTTCCTTGTGCTTCCAGCTCGATCAGCCCAGTTGTGCAAGCGTTGCTGATAAACTTTGTTGTAGTTTGTCTTTGACTTTGGGGCTAGGCATCCAGAACTCCTCCTTGATGAAAGGCCTTCATTACCGGGAGTCTTTCAACAAACTCCCTAGATTATCCTCAATCGCCCCCACCCCCCTGCTTATGTAATTCGTATACATCCCCCCCCATTTTCAGAACCCTCCAAAGCATATGCACCCTCTTCAGTATTCATTTATGTCGAGATAGGGTTGATTGACGCTGGAAGTGGCACCCGAACTCCCCTTCGCGTAGGGCCGCATGTGATTCCAATTAGGCGTTGGGTAGCTTATGCTATAGTTAGGCTTGCCGCCTTTGAGTAGTCGAGATGCCGGGTCATGCTGCTGAAGAGTAGAGTGGGGTCGTGCGCAGCAACTCGGTGCTTAAACAGCTACCCCGGCCGCTCCCTGATGGAAAAGAGTCTGATGTGTTATGCTATAG